CTCCCAAGTGCTGGGAGTGAGCTCCTTATCCCCAGTGCTGGGAAGGCAGAGCCTGGCTAGCCAGCTAAGTCTTTGAGCTCTAGGTTCAGTGAGAGACTGTCTCAAAAAATAAAGTGGAGAGCAGTTGAAGAAGACATCTAAGATCAACATCTGGCATGCACGCACACACACACACATACACATACACACTTCTCCACTCACCCCTCCCACAGAGACAGACAGACAGACAGACAAACACACACACACACACCTTTCCTCTCTGTCTACCATAGAGACAGACAGACAGACAGACGGACGGATGATGGGCACACACACACTTTAGTTGAAGTTTTTCTGATATGAATTTAGAGTGTAAAGCAGTTTACTATTTCATAGGGTTCTTTTTAGAAGTCCAAGATCACAAAACAAGTCTGTTTTAAGTAGGTTCTGAAACGTGCTATTATACATCCTTGATGGAGGAAAAAAAAGAAGTTCCTCCCCTTCAGCTCAGAATTGTGCCACACCAGATGTTCAGTTAGGCAGCAGTAAACGCCAGCTAACTTCTGCTTCGTGTAGACTTTTTGCTTCTTCCTTGAGCTGTGGAGTCCAAGGTCCCCGAAGGCTTGGCAGTGAGCGGTACCAGGGAGCATCAGCCACCCACAGATGTGTGCAGATCTCAGTCCTCACCCAGCATGGGCAATGGCCGCCATTACTGTGCCGGGACATGTATACTCTTCACAGAACCCAGGGAGATACACACCGCCTACGCCATGCGCTTGAGAACATGGAGGCCATGGGAGCGGAAGTAGTAGGCTCACAGCCATGTATGTAATGTCAAGCTCATTCTTTGAACCAGACTTCCCTGATTCTATATCCTTTTTTAAAATCATCATTACCACCTTTTCTGTTTTAGACGGGCTCTCCTATGTCCCTAGCTGTTCCTGAACTTTCCATGAAGCAGAGGATGACTCTGAGCTTCTGAATCTTCTGCTTCCGTCTTCAAGCGCTGGGTTTACAGGTGCACACCACCAGTTTATACGACTCTGAGGATTAAACCCAGGGCATTGTATGGCATTGTGCATAGTAAGTACATGCCCTACCAACTAACTGAGCTACACCTCCAGCCACTAGACATTCTGACTTTTAGATTCTTCCACACATTTAACCCTGTATTGACTCTTAACCGTGGATTTACAAATTCATCAAATCAAGTGAAGTAAGAGAACTAAACATGGAGGATTGCCATCAACTTGGGCTACAGGACTAAGGTAAGGCTCTGTTTCAAAAACAACAACAACAACAACAAAAGAAGTGTGTATGGTGGTGGTGGTGGTGTTGGGCATGGTAGTGCACACCTTTAATTCCAGAACTGACTTCAAGGCCAGCCTGGTCTACAGTTAGAGTCTAGGGCAGCCAGGCTACACAAAGAAACCCAGTGTAGAAAAACCAGAAAAGCAAGACAAAGAACAGGAGAAGGAGAGAACAAGAGAGAGACCTGTTTGTCTACCATTTTTCCTTCTATCAGAAAGCCTGACTGAGAACTTTAGGGAACTGACACGTCCACAAAGATTAACTGTTCCACCAGCCGACTCCCAAATAACTACACGGAGACTTAACGTTGCATATGAAAGTTCAGCCTTTAGCTTAGGCTTGTCTCAACTAGCTCTTATAACTTAGGCTAACCCATTTATATTCCTCTATGTTTTGCCCCATGGCGTTACCTCTCTCCCATCTTGCACCTCCTGTTTCCTCCCAGTTTATCTGGCGGCTCCGCCTTTCTTCTTCCCAGAGTTCTCTCTGTGTCCGGAAGTCCCGCCTATACCGCCTGCCTAGCTATTGAACCTTGCAGCTTTTTGCTATGCCAGTCACAGCAATGCATTTTCACACAGGGTACAAATGTCCCACAACGCTCATCCACCGCCCTCCCCCTGGGCACAGCACCCCCCTCCTGACATAGCATACACCAGTGCAGGGAACTGGGTGATGGATGTCTACCCCCGCCACGCCCACCTCCCAGATTCTCCTTCATCTTTCTCCCTGAGCGCTCTGCTCGATGGTGACAATACAGTGAGATGGAACTTTGGGATTTTTTTTCTCTCACCATCCTGTAAGAAAGTGGAAGCCCCTGCTGCTGTGTGCCAATGGCGTAACACAGGAAAAGACGCAGAGGCTGCGAAGTATGGAACCTGACGCAGGCGTGTGCATGCGTACAGTTGATTCGGGGCGGAGCTGGGATTGGTTGGAGATGTTTGACGGCTGAGAAGCGGGTTCCAAGATGGCGTGACGGTGCATGCCTGTTGTCCCCACACTCACAGGGCTGCTGCAGGAGAATTGCAAGTTTGAGGTCAGCCAGGGCTACATGGTGAGGCACAGGGACCTCCTCCCTGTTTCCTGAGATCTGGAAACTCCTAGTTGGAGAAGAAGCAACTCTCTTAGACCGGAAGCAGTAAGCGCGTCTGCTAGGACTTCCAATTGCCATCTTTATTTGGTTCTTTCTCAGTACTAGAGGTTGAACCCAGATGCTAGGCGAGTGCTCCACCACAGACCCCAAACTCCGTCTCCTCCTTGAGCTTCCCACAGTCCTGTTCTTGGAGAGACCAAGAAGTTGTAGACAATGAAAGTCCAGACTGTTAGGCGAAGTCAGGTCATAGTCAGGGCTTTGCTCTGAGTGGGTCAGTTGCTTCTCTTGTTGGCACGGCCAGATACCTGACGAGAAACAACTGTGGAGAGAAAACATTGGTTTCCCGTTTGAGGGGTGTGGTCCATCATGACAAGCAAGGCGTGGCAGCAGGTGCGTGAGGTGTCTGCTCACATTGGATCCACAGACAGGAGTCAGAGAGCAGGCAGGAAGTGAGCTCACCCCGGTGACCCACCTCCACGAGAGAGGCCACACCTCCAAAGCAGTGCGGACAACCAGGCGCTTACAGAGGGCATTTCACACTCAAATCACAGCACCCAGATGGATCTCGGGTGAAGAGGTTGGATTGCTGTGAGGGTCCTGGAGCTTGTGCTCTAACACCGAGACACTTGGCCGAGCCTTGGTGTGCTGGGCACAGAGGATGGTGGGGGAAGAAGGAGGCCGCAGCCTCGGGAACACAGTGTCTGAGAATGTCCAGGACAGAATCACGGAGCCAAGGGCATGATTTCCTCAGCCTCACATCACCCCTGGAAGGAGCCAACAGCTTCTGGAAACTGGACTCTGCCTCTGCCCAGACGGACTTCTCCTCAGCACTCAGTCTGTTTGAGAGCAAAGGAAACTGGACTCCCGGGCTCTGATGGACGATGGCCCTCAGCTGCAGTACTTGGGAGAGGCTGGGCAGGGGCAGAACACTCCATCTATAGTGCAAGGTACTAAATCACTTTGCAAAATGTCCCAAGGATAGCATTTAAAATAGCATGGAAAAAAACTTTCCTGATTACTACCTGAATGCATATTTTGGGCAAGATTGAAAACATAGGCTATTCTATGTTATTTCCTGGAAGGGACTATCAAGCCTTAGGTCACACACACTGTGGTTGGAGGTCTGCAGATACGAGAAAAATCTCCCTTCCTCGGCCCCTCTACCTACTTCCTGGCTGGGGATGTTATGTGAGCAGGTCTTGCATCCATAATGGGTTAAATCTCCCCAAACTCTAATCACCAATAAGCCCCTCTTTCTCAAGTTGCTTCTTGTCAGCTATTTGGTGACAGCTAACAAGAAAAATGACCAATGCCAGGTGGTGGTGGCACACGCCTTTAATCCCAGCACTCGGGAGGCAAAGACAGGCAGATCTCTGTGAGTTCAAGGCCAGCCTGGTCTTTAAAGAGAGTTCCAGGACAGCCTCCAAAGCAATACAGAGAAGCCCTGCCTCAAACCAACCCCCCTCCAAAAGAAAAAGAAAAAGAAAAATGATCAATATTCTACAGAAGGCCTTAATGTAGAGATGGATCCTTCAAGTCCACCAGGCAAATTAGCTTGGGAGGAGGCAGTCTGGGTAGCCTGAGTTGGGGGTCCTGTCACTTCTGCTTTCTACAAGAGAGCAACTGTCTACCATTGTGAAATGACACTGTCATCTGCAAAGCTCACTCTCAAGAACTATACAACTGAGTTACAAAACAGCTACTACCACATTATAATGTTTTTTCCCTTCACTTTTCTGAAACAGGGTTTCTCCTTGTAACATCCCTGGCTGTCCTGGAACTCATAAAGATCCACCTGCCTCTGCCTCCCAGTGCTTGGATTAAAGGCATGTGCCACCAACATCTAGAACTTAGTAATGTTTCAAGTAAGTTTAGAACATCTTGCTTGGCAGCATTCCCAAGTGGCCTTTGCCTGCGTGCAACCCACGGGTCACGGGTTGCAGACACCTAGACCCCTCTCAGCCCTCTGGATGGATATTGTCGATTCAGGCTAGGACCATGGTAAGTGGAAGAGAACTCCTGAGAACAAATAGCTGAATTGCATATTCCAAGGAAGGTAGGGGTGAGGCTGAGAAGATGGTGAGCATTTAAGGACTACCCTTCCCCCGTTTGCCGAAAGAGATATAAGGGATAGAACTGATAGAATGAATTGGTTATCTTTTGTAGCCCACTGTTTTCTTCTCATTTCCATTGGAAGTCATAAGCACATCGAACATCTATGCTCCAACGCTGTGAGGTCTTGGGAACAACGTAAGCGTGCAAAGGCAAGGTTCCTTTTGTGATGGGCGTTTTAAGAGGAAGAGAAAAGCACTGAGGCCAAGTCCCTGTCACTCACACAGGCCCCACCGAGTCAGTAAGAAGGTGGTGCTTAGTGCCTCTGATTGAAGACGATGCGATTCTTCTGAAAGAACACACACACCCCATACACACATATATACACACATACACATACACACATATACATACATGCACATACATACATACATGCATGCATACACATACACACATACAGATACACACACATACACAAATACACACATATACATACACACATACACACATACACAGATACACACATACACACACACATACACACATATACACACACACATACACACACACACACAGACACACGCATACACACTAAAGGTCCCTGAGGAGAGCAGACCCTCTCTCTTTCAGCATCTGTTAACTGCCTGTGGCTGCTCATCTAGATGCAGGCTCTTGTGAACTTGATCCTCACCCATGTCAGCATGTTGACGGGTGTGGTCTTGTGCAGGTAACGTATTGTTTAGAGTTCATGAGTTTGACAGTTTTGTCCTGTCCAGAAGACACTTATCAAGCAGACCCCGCAATAATGTGGTTTCAACAAGCTAAGGACATGTTCGGTAAATATTCTGTTTCTTTTACACAATTCTTCCCTCCATCTTTGAACTCTGGAATAACAGGCTCGCAGGGCATCCGAGGGCCATTCACGATGGGATCTCCTGTTCAGCTGCAGCTCACACCCCCAGGGCTCTGAAGCCGACCTCTCAGGGGACCTCATAGCTGCACAAGAAGGAATAGCCTTTGGTCTGCTGCCAAATGGAGCGCAGCCCTCAAGGGCTGTCCCAAGTCCAAGGCATTGCCCCAGAACTGGACTCGTGAGTGGAGGAGGCTGGCTTCTCCCGGCTTGGCAAATTTCTCTCATCTTTCCAAAGAACCCTGCCCAGGTCCTGCCAGACATGCTGTGGTTCCCTCTTTCCTCAGGCAGTTTCTGTTCATCAGTCAAGGCATCTTGGAACATGAATTCATTGCTTTGGGGACATTTTCCCAAAAGGCTCCAGCCTGTACCACATGTTCCAAGATAAAACTATTCTGTGTCCCAACCACTAAAACTTCATGTAGTGCCACCCCAGCAGCTGTGGTTTGTTAGTTCCTTACTGAGGTGTCACTTGAGGTGAAAAAAAATGGCTATTCTAGCAAACACCAAATGCATTATAGAATTAGCTTTAACTGCCCTAATTTGCATGGTTTGAAGCTCTTTCAAAACCACGGGTCTGCAAGAAAAAGAAGCGAGGGTCGTGTCCGTGTGTTAATGGCTTCTGCACGTGATTCTCTGGGAAGATGAAGAGTCTCCACACAAGGTTTTAGTAAATTCTTTTTTTTCTTGTTAGGTGGTTTTGCAAAGTACAGCAAATTTTGTGAAGGGCACATCCAAGTCTGACCTTACTTCTCCGCTGAAAGTCAGGGCAATCACTAGGTCATAGCACAGGGTGAGACGAGGCTTGGCAGATCGTCTCTCTGCCAAGGTCGGACTTATCCCGCCGCATGATGTCGGCAGCGTGGGGTGGTGTACACCTGGAACTCCAGCCTCAGTCAGGGAGGAAGGGGGGATCAGAACTTCCAGACCACCCTCAGCCATAGCGTAAGTTCAAAGCCAGCCTGGGGTTCATAAAGTCCTATTTCAAAACAAATAAACAAACAAACAAGACCACAGAAACCAGAGTGTGTGGGGGAGAGGAGTTTCTGAAAGATATTTTCCCTTACTTGGAACTCTGCAGGAAGGAAGTAAACTTGTTTTTCTTTCCATGTGACTGAGAGATGAGCCTGAAGTTGCCTGTTTATTGAAAGTGTCCCTGGGGCTTTAGTCCTCCTCCCCAGGAGGACTCGGGCAGCGCTCCGGGAAAGGAGGTTTGAAACGTCTTCTGTTCATGCCGTGCAGTCTGGGAACCTGTTCGCTTTTTCCTGTGAGGCAGTACATGAGCTGACCATGAGCCCTCTGGAGCTGTGAGCCCAAATGAGCCTTTCCTCCTGTAAGGGGCTTATCTAGCTCATCATTTGTCTCAGTGATGGGACATTGATTGACACATGACCGGGACAGTTGTGAGCACTGAGTACAGTGGTGAGGGGCTCCATGTGCCGTATCCACACAGATTTCTCAGTCTGTATCTTCCCAATCGGCATCTAATGTTTGTAAAGAAACGTGTGCGGCAACTGGCCTCTGCTATGGATACCCACACAGGGGAACACTGGAGGCTGGCTGGTGAGAACGCCTGAGGTCGGAATCCAGGTTCTAGAATTTACCAGGTCAGTAACCTTGAACAAGCTGCTTAGTGGTAACTTTCTCAACTTGATAGGGGGCTAAGTAGGAATACCGGTTTCTAAGTTAGAACTAATAAAATCAGGGCTTACTGGTAATCTTAATTGTTGCTGTGTGCTGTGTGTGTGTGTGTGTGTGTGTGTGTGTGTGTGTGTGTGTGTGTGTGTGTGTGTGTAGGTGCCCGTATCTGTACATGTGTCCAGAGGCGTGAGATCACCCTGACTGTTATTCTTGGAAGACATCCACCTTCTTTTCTTGAGAGAGGGTCTCTGACTGGCCTGGATTGCTGACTCGGGAAGCTTGGCTTGCTACAAGGGTTAGGGACCTGCCTCTTGGGGGCTGAGATTACGTGTATGCACCATCGTACTCGCCCTTTTTCTTAGAACAAAAGAAAGCAGAACTGAAACATGTGTGCGTGTGCATGCCTGTGTGTGTGTGTGTGTGTGTGTGTGTGTGCTGTGACTGGATGCAATCCAAGCGTGTAAGAGGGTGCACTGAATGGCATTACTGTAGCAGTGAGAAGACAGTTTGTGGGAGCAGGGTCTCTGCTTCCACTCTGTAGACCCTAGGGACTGAACTCAGGCCATCAGACTTGGCAGCAAGGGCCTTCCCTGGCTCCTCCCTCACGGCACCCTTCCCTTTGGGGCACGTGGGTTCTGTAGATGGGACTCAGCTCCTTGTGCTTGACGTGGGAACACTTGAAGTGGCCCGAGCACTCTCCCTAGCTTGTAACTTTTATTATTGGAGATGGATAGACTCAAGCATGGGTCTGAAGTGGAAAGCCTTTTTTGTTGTCCATGAAGTGAACCTCATATCTTGTTTTAATTTTAATTTTGCCTTTGCAATGCCAAGAGGTTTGAACAGAAGTCAATATTATTGAGCCCACATGTTGACAGGGGGCCAGGGGAAGGTGTGGCCTTCCCCAGAGGTTGCTGGTGAAATGTAGGCTGGATGACTGAACCCAAATGTCTCACCGGCTACTACGTGCTTTGAAAGGGGAGGTGCATTCCCATCATGCCCAGGGTAAGTGAGGTCGAGGAGCCCGAGTCCTGGCAGCCAGCAACTTGCTGTGTAGCCTGAGGCAAACTGCTTAACCCCAGTGACTTAAAATTTTCATCATCTGTAAAAATAGACTAATACCAGCTTTCAGAGATGTTGTAAGGTTCAAGATTCAGGTTAACCTCAATTATCTGCCTTCATGGAAGAGAGCAAGAGATAATCCAGGAAGAGAAGAAAAAAAAAAAAAGGAATTTCTCTTCGGTTTTGAATCTATAATTATTCCTTTTGACTCATCAGTTTTTCTTCTTAATTCTTCACTTACATCCTGGGAAGGATGCCTATGTGTTGGGGGAATACTGGTGGGGTGCATGATTCTGTCGTTGACAAATGGTGGTGACACAGATGTCATTTCAGACTCCAGTGCTAGTTTACGCGCCCCCTGGTGACGGAGACACGTGCGCGAAGAGGTGTGGACCGCACTTAGTGGACTGACCCGCACGGGACCGGAAGGGACATCTTCCCATGCTAGAGACGGCCACTCCTCAGGAAGCATCACAGATGAGAACTGGAGACAGTCTGGGGACAGCGAAGGCGCCATGCGCTTCCCTGTTCCCATCTGTGCCACTGAGGCGGCACACAGCTGCAGACTGCGGTCCCACAAGTAGGCAAGCCGCGGCACGCGGCCAGCCATTCAGATGCAGTCAAGCACATCTTAGCCACCGACCTCGGACACTTCTCTCTGCGTCTCCGATGGTCTCTTCTGTAAAAATAAACCTTTTCAACCTACAAAGTAAAACAATAGATTATTTCCACCTGATGCGTTGGGCTATCCCTTGCTCAAAAGAAAACATCTCCATTTTTTTTCTTATTTGAGACGGGGTCTCACTGTGTAAACCAGACCAGCTTCAAACTCACAGAGATCCTCCTGCCTCTGCTTCCCAAGTGCTGGATTGATGGCGTGCGCCACCACACTTGGATACCTTAATTTCTTGTGACGTTAACTAATTCTTTCTCCTCTCCCGCACCCTGGGATAACCATCATCTGCTCTTTCTTTTCATTTCTTCCCATCATAACACGATCTTCCACTGGGTCCTGGGGCTGCTTGTCAAGCCCTCATTCTGTTTGGCGGTGGAAACTTACCCACCAAAAAGAGAAAGGGTAGGGACCCAACAGACATGCTCATACCTGCAATTTCTGTCTCAAATTAACCTTAGCTTCTCTAAGAATCTTGTTGGCTGTAAGAGTATGTGTTCTCTATTTTTTTAATGGCATATCAACACAGTTTTCTCTGGTTATTCCTATTAATTGCTGTATTTCAGGAGCAACCATGATAGCCTGTTTATTTGTGCCACCCCCTTTGTATAAAATGGAGACTGTGGGGGGGGTGAGGCAGTATAGTGGTGTGCAGACTGTTGTTGGATTTGCGTTCAGTGCTCGAACCAAGGTTAATAAGCTGTTAGATGCTGCCTGCATAGCTTCAGACCAATTACATCACCCCATGCTGCCGCTCGCTGTAACACATACAACTAGAACATGGAACAACCGGGTTTCAGCCCCAACTTGTGTATGTGTGTGTGTGTGTGAGAGTGTGTGTGAGTGTGTGTGTGAGTGTGTGAGTGTGAGAGTGTGTGAGAGTGAGTGTGAGAGTATGTGTGAGTGTGTGAGTGTGTATGAGTGGGGGTGCATGTGTGTGAGAGTGTGCGAGTGTGTGTGAGTGTGAATATGTGAGTGTGTGAGTGTGTGTGAGTGTGTTGAAGGCTAGAGGCTGACATGTGTCTTTGTCCATCACTCTCCATCATCCTTTTTAGAGACAGGTTCTTTTTTCTCTCTCTCTCCCTGAAGACAGGGTTTCTCTGTGGCTTTGGAGGCTGTCCTGGAACTAGCGCTTGTAGATCAGGCTGGTCTCGAACTCACAGAGATCCGCCTGCCTCTGCCTCCCGAGTGCTGGGGTTAAAGGTGTGCGCCACCAACACCTGGCTTAGAGACAGGTTCTTTCACTGAACCTGGAATGCACTTCTTTGGAAAGCCTAGCTGGCTGGTGTGTGCCAGGGACCCCCCCTGTCTCTACCTGCTTAGTGCTGGCATCACAATCACATGACGCCATCCTTGGCTTATTATGTAGGCTCTGGGGATCCAAGCTCGGGCCCCTTACACTTATTTGTCTGGCATGTTACTGTCTGAGCCGTAATTTTTGGTCTTAAATTTAGAGCACCTTCTACTACACATCACTACACACACACACACACACACACATATCCTGGAAGCAATATAGATGAAAGCCTAACTCTCTGAAGTATCATGGGACCAAAAATTGTGAATGTCAAAACCACCTGCTTCCCTCTAAAGCCCTGATGGCCCTGTGCCTCAGAGTGCATATGCATCAGTTTTTCTGCTGGGGCATGAGGTGGGGTGGGGGGGTGGTTACACCTGTCTCTGTTCCCATAATACTTGAGGTAGCTCATTGCTCAAGCTAATCTTCGCTGTTTTCAGTGACTCATTGAAGGGATCATCAAGTTCACATGCTGATGCGAATAATGAGAGGGAGTAACAGGCGTTTTACAATCTATTGAGAGGCAAGCTTGAGCATATCCAGTAAAAAAAATACCTATGCAAATAGTGTTCTGCTTGAATCAATCAGTTAACCCAGGGAGCAGGTTGCATGTATGTCCAAAGACGCACCGCAAATAAATGAACAAACAAACAGATAAATGTGGCGGTTGGCAGACTGAAGAGACAACCAAGTCCACAAGCATCCCTCTGCCCTGTTGTCACCCCACCCTGCCGCAGCTTGTCAGGCAAACCAGCTGTGCAATTTGAAAGGTTTGAGTTGAAGGGGATTCACTGGGGACAAGGGCAGTGTGACTTGTGGGCTTCACAGCATCAGAGAAAAATCCAGGCTCAGGATACACACAGCTTTCCCTGCAGGAATACCACTTATCACATGGACACACAAACACAACGCAACACCACACAACAGCACACCAGTGCAGCACGAGGCAGCATTTAGGCTGGCAAGTCCTCGCAGCCGAGTCTCAGAAGTACCCAGTCTCAGGAATGAGTGAGGACTCCCGGATGGTCACAGAGAGGAGGCGGGCAGCAGTGGTGGCTGTCCTGAGACACAGGAGTCGTCCTCTGTGTTTGTGACCCTGGGACTGCAGTCTGGCCGGGTGGTGTTGGATAGAACTATTCATGGCTTAGCATGTCCTGGGTCAACGGAGAACAATGGCTTTCACCTGGGGCTGCCTTTGTCCCTTCCAGATCTCTGCTGTGTTGTCCCTTCCGGATCTCTGCAGCGTTTGGAGACATTTTTGTGCCTCACAAACCAAAATGTGTCATGAGTGGGGAGAAGTCTGGAATGCTACCAGATAGCCCTTGGTGCACAGGACAGTCACCATGACCCGCATGACAAGTTCCCCAGATCCTGGTGTCAGTAGTCCAGAGGTTAGAGCCCTGACTTGGAGGCTCTGGCAGTACAGGATGGTTGGCCCTCTGAGGGATGTTAGGCAATTTTACTTTTGCAGAGTGCTTTGAGATCTTTGGATAAAAGTTGCTGTGTACATTTTGTAAAAACTCATGCTGCTACATGCTCTCAGGCTTCAGGGAGGCTTTTGGCAAGGTCTGACTCAGCCTATTCCCAAATTTTAAAAATGTCTTTCCTTTCCTCCCCTCTCCTCCTCTCCCCTTCTATTCTCTTTCCTCCCTTTCCCCATCCTCCCCTCCCCTCCCCTCTCCTTTCCTTGGGATGCCCCCCTTACATACATCATACACACACACACACACACACCCTGAGTGTGGCACAGGCATTTGTGGTCACTTGTGAAGCCCCCAGGTACAGTTTACCACCCAAGTGTCTTCCTCAATTGCTGTCCACTTTATTTTTTGACACAGGATCTCTAACCTGAACCTGAAACTTAACGACTGGTAAGCGTGGCTGGCCAGCGAGCTCCAGGGGTCCACCTGTCCGCACAGTGCTCACATTGTACACCTCCCACCACATCTGGTTTCTGTGTGGGTGCTGGTGATCTGAACTCAAGGCTTCATGCTTGTGTGGCAAATATTAATTTTTTTTAAGGCAAGGTCTCATAAGGCCCAGGCTAGCCTTGAACTTCCCGTGTAACCAAGGATGCCTTTAAACTCCTGATTTTCTTGCCTCTGTTGCCTGAACTCTGGGATGACTCGCATGCGTTGATGCGCTCTGTTTATGTGGTGGTGGGGTCTGAGCCCATGCCCCCTACATGCTAGGCAGGCAGACAGGCACTCTGCGTCTCCAAGGCCACGTTGTTTGAATGTTGAAACCTTGATCCTGCACCATCCTATTATACGTCGTCTCTGGCATGTTATCACGAGAGAACATTCCACACTGATCTTGGAACCCCAGGACCAGCTGCTCTGACAGCTCAGCCACATGTAAAGTTAGGGCAACACACCCGAGTTTCCAGGGTCCTCTTTCTCTGTTCCAGGGAAATTCTCTTCAGTAGCCCCTCGGGTATCACGGAGATTGATGAAGAAGGGTAAAAACCACTTCCAGAGTGGACACTTTCAAGAGTCATATTTATTGTTTCCAAAATCATCTAGAGAAAAAAAATACCACCCACGCAGACAATAGAGTTTTAAACCAAGCCTGCTTCAGACTTAAGTTATTTCCTTCCCGCAAAGCTTGTCAAAATGCAAGTGTGTCCCGTGCAGTTGGCCTGAAAAGCAGCTCTGTGTGTAGTGTACTTTAGGAGTTCCTTTGACTTTGGTGGATATATAGACCAGATTCAATGGGTTGTGAATCTGGGGAAATAATTCATCTTCAGGGACAGGTCATGCACTTAGAATGTGGAGAATCGCTTCCTGACAGAAAGTTTATTTGACTGAAAAGGCATTTGATTGGAAAAGAAAAAATAACCACTGAAGATCAGGTAAAGATGCAAAATGTCTCTTTTTTTGTTTTTTTTTTTTTAAACAAGGTTTCTCTGTATTGTTTTGGAGGCTGTCCTGGAACTCGCTCTGTAGACCAGGCTGGCCTTGGACTCACAGAGATCTGCCTGCCTCTGCCTCCCGAGTGCCACCAATGCCCAGCCCAAGATGCAAAATTTCTAACTGCAAAAAATTTGATTTTGGCTAAGAAAACTCTACCTCATCGTCCATAGAAGAACATTCTGCCAGCTGTGTTAATATCTTTCCTCCATTACTCCCTCCCCCCCTCCCTCCCTCTCTCCCTCCCTCCCTTCATTTTACAGGATCTCATATAGCCCAGGCTGACCTTATACTTGCTATGTAGTCCAAGAAGACCATGTACTTTCAATCCCCCTGCCTCCATCTCCTGAGATCTGGGATTACAGATGTGTACCACCATGCCTGGGTTTTGGTGCTGGGGATTGAACCGAGGACTCTACACGTGAGGCAAGCATACATACTATTGTATAGTCAGGGATGACTCTGAACTCCTGATTCACCCTCATCAACCCCAAGTGCTGGAATTCTAGGTGTGCTCCACCACACCCAGTTCATGCTGTGTTGGAATTAAATCCAGGGCATCAGGCATGTTAGACAAGCACTATACCAACTGAGCCGCTGAATTCTGTCCCCCGCTATAGTACATCAGTTTAACAAATTCCTGTAGTGGATGTTAAAAGTCCTAACAACATCACGAGCTGGAAGGCACCACTGGGGAACTCCAAAAGGACCAATCAGGAGACGACTCTGAGAGTCAGTAAGCTCCAAAGCTACTTATCTGGGAGCCACAAGTAGGCTGTCAGCCTTTGAGTTCTGTGGGATAGGTGTTTCTCTAGACTTTTCTTTTTTTCTTCGATGCTTGAAGGGCATTATGGGAACGCAGTTGGCTCAGAGTGATGACATTAACGTTATGAATAATGCTTGGGGGCTAGACTCTCGATGCTGGGAACTGGCTGTTAGATTCCCAGAACGTTTTGCATAATGAGGTCGGGATGCCGGGCCAGCAGAATGACTGTTGGATGGGAGCGAGCCACAGAAAGCATGGGAGGGGCACATCAGAAATGAACTACTCAAGCAGAACTCTGCAAGCACTCTGCTGCTGTGTGTGGTGTGGTGTGGTGGTGTGGTGTGGTGTGGTGTGGTGGTGTGGTGTGTGTGGTGTGGTGTGGTGTGGCGTGGCGTGGTGTGGTGTGGTGTGGTGGTGTGGTGTGTGTGGTGTGGTGTGGTGGTGTTCACTTCGGCTGACTTCATTCCTAAATTCAGCCTGAAAGTGATCTTCAGTGCTCCTAAGTGTGCTTTCCCATCCCAACTCCCTCTCCCTGTTCTCAGCCATGGCAGAAACCCCCAAGAGCGTGGAGAAGCCAGTAGCTGCATCTCAGCTCTTTGGACTTTTGTTCTATAAGTGAAAGAATGGAATGAAGTAAAAAAGAAAAAACAAAGACAAAACATGACCTGGTTGCTAGCACATTAAGGTAGGAGTCAAGTCTTTAGGTACAAACTGAGGGATTCCTTGTGTGTACAGCAAGTGTACTTGTTAAGAGAGAGAGAGAGAGAGAGAGAGAGAGAGATGTGTGTGTGTGTGTGTGTGTGTGTGTGTGTGTGTGTGTGTGTGTCATAGGTCGGGTTGATGTTGGGTGTTTCTCTCTCTCTCTCTCTCTCTCTTCTTTTCAAGACAGGGTTTCTGAGTACCCTAGTTGTATCAACAATTACTCCATAGACTGCGTTGAACTCAGAGGTCTGCCTGTCTCTGCCTCCCAAGTGCTGGGATTAAAGGTGGTGCCACCATCTCTGTCTGGGTGTCTTTTCTCCACGGAACACCATTTTTTATTTCTGAGTCAGCGTCCCTCACTGAGCATGGAGCTCATTGATTTGACTAGACTGACTGCCCGACGAGCTTTGGGGATCCAGCCGTTTCCGCCACTTCGTGGCACCGCCGTTCCTTTTCCTGCGGGTGCTAGGGATCTGAACTTGGGCTGGGATGTTTGCCATGCAGACACTTTACTGACTGAGCCACCTGCCCAGCTGCAAATGGAACCCTTATAGGGAAGACTGAAGAGATGTGCAAGAGTATTGATTAGTGCTACAGTCAGTAAGAGCATTGTCTATTAAGATTTTCAAAACTCACTGCCAACTAGTTATGAGGCCCAATAGTGTGTGGCAGAGCCCCAGTAAACTTTATTGTAAGGGACCGGGTAGTAAATACACTAGGCTAACTGATCACTTGGTCTCTTTAGCAACTTCTCATATAGTATGAAAGCAGCTACAGACAGTACAGATGGGCTACGTGCCAATAAAACTTTATTGTAAGGGACCGGGTAGTAAATACACTAGGCTAACTGATCACTTGGTCTCTTTAGCAACTTCTCATATAGTATGAAAGCAGCTACAGACAGTACAGATGGGCTACGTGCCAATAAAACTTTATTGTAAGGGACCGGGTAGTAAATACACTAGGCTAACTGATCACTTGGTCTCTTTAGCAACTTCTCATATAGTATGAAAGCAGCTACAGACAGTACAGATGGGCTACGTGCCAATAAAACTTTATTGTAAGGGACCGGGTAGTAAATACACTAGGCTAACTGATCACTTGGTCTCTTTAGCAACTTCTCATATAGTATGAAAGCAGCTACAGACAGTACAGATGGGCTACGTGCCAATAAAACTTTATTCGTGTCGCCAGGGATGTAGCTCCATTGGGATAGTACTTGCCTAACATGCGTGATGTGTGGTACTGGATTCAATCCCAGCACCACATGAACTGGGTCTGGTGGTACAGTACTGTAATTTCAGCACTCAGGGCCAGGAGTCCAGGTAAACCAGGAGTTCAGCCATCCTTGGCTACATAGACAGTTCAAGGCTGGCCTGGGATATATGGGACTGTCTCAAAAACACACAACAACAAACAAAATTTAAAAAACCCACAGTAAGGACACTGAAATTTGGTTTTTCATGTAATTTCCACAAGGCACAAACTGGTTTTCCTCTTTTTTACTTTTCAACAATTTAAAAATGTGAAGCACATAGTTGATTTGTCTTATGGGCTATCCCTTACTGACTGCTGGTACCAAGTAACTTTGGGATCAGACAGACTGGGCTTAAAGTATGGTCCCACATAACCTTTAGCAAGTTGCTTGACTTGCCTGGGGTGGGGAGGATCCCCTTTGTAAGCTTCAGGTCCCTCGTGTGGAAAATGAGGATACAACATCTCCTGCTAATGGTTACTACAGGGATTAAAAAGATGGCATGGGTCTGGGTGGATGCTTGGATAGGTGAAGTGCTTGCTGCACAGGCCTGACGACCTGAGTCCAGATCCCCGTCGTGCGTATAACATGTCTGTAACCCTACCATCAGGAGGTAGGTGGAGACAGACGGATCCACAGAGCCCTCCCACCAGGCCGTCTAGCCAATGGGTGAGCTCTGTGTTCAGGTCTCAAATGATAAGGTGGAGAGCTGTAGTGGAGTCCACTCCTGGCCTCTGTGTGCACAGAGGTGCTCCAGCACAGACGCACGCTTCACGCACATCCACAGCAAAGACTGCGAGAGCAAATGCCTGCATGCTGCTCTCCTTCAACAAATGGCAACAAGATAATTAAATACAAATCTTCCAAGCTCCTAGAGCCAGGCCATTGTCACTCACATTTGCAGTGCTAACACACCGTTGTGTGAACCTTTGAAGGTGACACAGGCCAGATTGTCCTCAGCTCTGTCACTAGCTTTTTCCCACCTGAACGTTTCCATCCGAACATGTCTCTGTCGTCTCTGGCAGAGCTCAGGGCTGTATCGCCCTTCCCACATGGACAGATCAGTTAACACGCAAAAACACGCCTTTCCTGAGTCCTCTTACGTTGCTCCAGGTAGAAACTTGTCAGGTTCAAGTTGTAGTTTATACCCAGATGTTGTGTTGCAGGATGGTCCACATCGGATGGAGCTGGCAGGGACAAGGAAGATTCTTTGCTTTTGCTTTTGCTCAGGGGTAGAGCAAGGGGTGGCTGTGAACACCATGCCTGGTGGCTTTGTCGTGAGGTCGTATAAGCAAGCACTCAGAGAAACAGTGCCCCAGTAAGTCCCCGCCTCAGAGCCTCGAAGTCACAAACCTTTCTCCTGAATCTCTCACAACAGCTTTTCAAGAGATATTCCTGTCCCAGCAAAAATCAGTCTTCAGCCAGCCGAACTCAGCAGCTTAGCTAGACGTCCATTGGAATGACTCGCCCACAGGAACCCAAGCCATCATCAACGGAGACGCTTGCACAGCCATGCTTACTAAAGCACTGTTCACAACAGCCAGGGCAGAGAGTTGGTGTTTGTGCCCACCCACAGAGACATGGATACAGAAAGTGTGACATAAAAATATAACAGGTACTAGCCAATCATTAAAAAAGAACAAAATCCCATCATTTATAGGAAAATTGATGAGGGTCAGGAAGCTTCAGATGAAATGAAATCAGCTAGCTCCAAGAAGATAAGAATTACATGTTTTCTCATGTATGGACCATAAGGAAGGAGAGGCATGAAAATAGAAGGGAGGATACCAGAGGAAAGAAAGGGAGTCAGGGAGACACTAGATTCAAGGATAAGAGAGGGCTGGATGTGACCGCGCACACGGAAGCATCCAAGTTAAACCCACTGCTTTACACGGTTTCCCTGTCTTACCTTGGAGTCCCAGGCCTCCGGGAAAACCTCTGCTTCAAAACATGAAGTGGCCGTCCGTCTCCTGAGGAAAGGCGCCAGGACTGACATCTGGCCTCCACACTCAGGCGCACAGATGTGTACAGATCACCACACAAAAAGTAACAGTGTTAAAGTGGGATGCTTGCAGGGAATCATAAGCAACAGCAGGGATGAGAGAGGATAGCAGGGGGAGAATATTATTAATAATAGATTACGTTGTGATGTGTCTGGGGGAAGCATGGCTACCGCACGTCATATCATGATGGGGCTATGTCCCTCCAAGTGTTTCCCAGGCTGAGCCTTACCGTAGAAGACTCTATTTTATAATCAGCTTTTATTTACTTCACTTTGAGGGAGGATGACTTCAGCCCCGCCCCCGTGGGATCAGGAACCGACACCCTCTGAAGGGTACCACCCATTCCTCCCCAGGACAGACTGATAAATGAATTATTCCTGGGAATAGAAAGGTAGCCATGGGAATGAAAATTAAAACTGCAGGGGCAGATCCATGGAACCATGCCCAAGAATTTATCAGACACGCCAGGCCAAGAGAAGAGTATAACTCCCTCCCCTAGACCCCCAAAGTGATGGGCGCCTAACCCGGTGATGGCATGGCACCACGCTAACCTGTCACCAGAGACCCGGCATTTGTGTCAAGGACTGACAGGCAGTGGACTCCCCCGGCCGTCCTTGGATCCATTGGATCCTCTGCTGTGGATGTGAATACGTAACCCCTTGTCCATCCACCTGTTCACCAGTCTGGACTTGATCCATTTCCTGCTCTCAGATCTTGGTTAGGGCTTCTGGCTCACAGCTCTCAAACCTGACTCTAGTAGCTTCCAATGCAGCTACCTCCTGACACTGGTTCATTATCTTATCTGTTCAGATTATTCGCCTGCATCTGAAACCTTTTGAACTCTGTCCGGTCTCTTTAGCTTGTATCCATTCTGCAAACCACTCATATGCACATAGATAGATACTTACTCTGTGCTATGCCATAAGAAAGTTGAGATTAATAATTAATGGAGGCCAGCCTGGTCTGCATAGTAGGTTCTAGGATACTTAGGGCTATATAGAGAGTCCCTGTCTTAAAGGCAAAACAAAACAAGACAAAAACCAAAACAAATATTAGTAATTAAGAGTGGACTAAGATACTGTGTTTGCCTCAGCCAGGCTACCAAGATATTCAGATTATATGACAAATTTCTCTTATTGAAACTGCTAAACCTTGTACATTTATCTTTATTTGTAAATTCTGACATTTTAGAAAGACACAAATGTATTTGTCTATGTTTCTGGCATTGCATGTTCATGACAATTATATGTGTGAAAATATGAAGGGATGAATTTTGAAATAGGTGTATTTAAAAGATAATATTACATATTACTAAGCCAACAATGAAAACCAAGAACAACACTAGGGAATCCATAAAGAAAAAGATTTCAAAGCTTTAGACAGACAAAGGATTGGTGACAGTGCCAGTCCAGCTCTGCCCCACCCTAAGGCCAAAGGAAGACTCACCATGCTGACCTAGTAGATCTTAAGTAGATTGAGATCTTCCAGGTATTTCTCCCTGGGAGGCTTGCCTGAAGTTAGCAGAGCAGTCGGAACATGGCCGAGAAGCGGAGCCTGCTCTGAAGCAATGTTTGCCCTCTCCTTATCCATCACAGCTCTCCCTCCCCTCTACTCTTTCTCATCCCTTCTCCTCTGCCTTCCGTCATTACTCATGCCCGCCACCCACTCTGAGACAGGAGCTCAAAACGTACTGTGTAGCCAAGGATAACCTCACACTTGTGAGCCTCCTGCCTCTATGGCCCCAGAGCCAGGGTCCTAAGCGTGCACCACCATACTCACACCCAAAATATGAGGAGCTACAGACCGGACCTAGGATGTCATGTACGCTACCAACCGAACTATGCCCCACGCCCCTCGCTCATGTCTTTCTGCACTCGTTTCTCCCAGCTTTGAGCTGCTTGCTCTCTCTCCGACTCTGTAATAAAAAATGATCCAAGAGTCATTTGACTTACAGGAACAGTGGTTTCCTGAAAGCCTACTGACTCTGAAATGCCTTTTGGTGTTGGTGGTTTATAAACTGCTGGCCTGAAGCCCACATGATGACCTCTAGAGATTCCCATGGCTTTCGTGGCTGTGGAAGTCTTCCATGTGGGAAACTGTTCTCTGTGAAAGTTGATAAACCACCCCAAGGCGAGGGATCCCTTTAATCTGTGGTGGCAATCTCTTAGTAAGTGCTGGCCAGTGCTGTGGGCCACCCCTCTGACTCCTGACGGTTAGCAGGGCATCCCCTCAGAGAGGATGTTTTCAAAGCAAACGTTTGAAGTAAGCACCGTGCATGTGGCGGCATCTGGCATTTATAATCAGAACAAAAGCTCCTTCCTCTTTCTTAATCTTTATCCCAGATGGGAGCATGGCTCCATACCAAGAAAGTCTGCAGTTTTTCTTCCCAGAGAAAGCTAAGCCAGAAGCATAGAATGCCACCTGGGAGCATGGGAATGTGGGTCACAGCTCTCAGCCACTCCATGCTAAGTCTGAAGAACCATTGGGGACCTGACGTCTAATGTCAACCTTAAAGGGAAGCAACGGCGCTGACACTGATTAATCCCAGCCCGTCCTACAGCGGATTGTTGAGGTGGATCGTAGCGTGGGAGAATTTTTACTGTTTCCCAGTGCTTAAAGCTGTGTTTGGCATCTTTGTTTGCAAACTGTGCATGATCACGGTTTCCTTCGTGCGGAATCTGTGCTCCGAGACAGTAAAACAAGCATGCCGGATATTTGCCCACATGTTGCCCAAACACACACCCAGTTTTTGCTGTGGTCGGTTTGAAGTTGTGATTTGGGGTTTTCTGTGTTTATTTATTTTTCTTTTAATGTTGTGAATATCCTGTGCTGAGACACTAGGATGGGAGACATGCATCTTTTCAGATGACGAGAGAGACTCAAGCCGCTTCTTTCAGGCTCAGAAGGCGGAAACAAGATGTAAGAAGAAATCTGTCTGAGGGAATAAAGGGAGGCCTTTTGTTTCTTCCCTCAGACAGATAAAGACTACTCATGGTCTTGGACAAATTGTAGTTAAGTACAAGACAGAGAGACTACCGGAGTCATCCGTAGAGCTCAGTAAAACACACAGGGGCAGAGATGAGGCCAAGTTGGTAAAATGCTCTCTTGGCATGCATGAAGCCCTGGGTCTGAGGCCTAGTACTATATAAACTAAGAGTGGTGGTGCAGACCTGCCATCCCAGCACTTGGGAGGAAGATCACACGGATCGGAAATCCAAGGCCGGACTGGGATTTGAGACCCTGTCTCAAAACACAACGGGGCCCAAGAGATGAATCAGGGAGTAGCCTTCAGGACTCGCACGATGGAAGAAGAGAACTGACCACTGCAAGTTGTCCTCTGACCTCTACTTAAGTGCTGTGGCAAGCTCACACACGTGTGAGAGTGCATGTGAGTGCACACGTGCATGTGCACGCTCGCACGCGTGCCCACACACAACCAAACAACTACCCCCCACAAAATACACACAGTTCTGTCCCAACTCCTTAGCCCAGGCTTGAGTATTTCCTGTCTTCCTTCTTCCCACCCATAGTAAGTGCGCTGAACCCACAGATGCTATCCTGTACCCTGGCCCAAGGCTCCCTGACAAGGGTGCAACTGCCATTCACAATGCCTGAGGGGTCCACCTTCTCCATCTCCTCCTCAACTCCCATCTCCTGGTTTCGATAGCTGCCAGCTTATGAGGTGTGAGGTGACACTCCCCGATGGTTTTCATGAGCTGTTTCCTGATGGTGCCTTCTGCTTGTCACATGTCTACTACTATTCATACGTCTGGGTTGAACAAATGCTTGTCCTAGTTTCTTGTCCATTTTAAATAAGGTTATTCAAAGTTTTGCCATTGAATTGTAAGGTTTCCGTATGTATTTACCTTGCATACAAAAATGCCTATCAGATGCATAGTTTGAAACATTTCCGCAAGATTGTGTTTCTTCAATAGGAACTTTTTAACACAATGTAAACTTAGTTGACAATTTTTACGTTTCGTTTCTGTTTCTGTTATTTTGGGGGTGACATCTATGAGATCATTGCCCAGGCCTGGGGCGTCAAATTTCTCCGTTTTCTTCTGAGAGTCCTACACATTTAAAAGTGGTTTTTCAGTATTGTGCAAGGAGAAGAAGGCCCAACTTCATTCTGAACTGTCTCTTCCTCCACTTTGTGTTCCTGGGCAAAGATCAGTTGATTGTATACACGTGGGCTCCTTTCTGTGTTCTCCAATGTGTTGTACAGTGCGCCTGTTTCCAGACCAGCACCACACTGTCTTAATTACTGTAGCTTTGTGTGTAATATCTTTTAAAAGCAGGAACATCAGGTCTCCGGTTTGTTTTTCTCTGTCAGGATAGTTTTGAGATGGGCTAAGCTGTGGCTCATCGGTAGAGAGCTTGCCCGGCATGCAAAAAGCTGTGGGTTTGATCCCAAATGTCATAGGGAAAAAAAATATGGACCAGGTTTTACTGGGTGCGGTAGCTTGGGTGAGAATGTCCTCCATAGGATCAGATGTCTAAATGCTTGTTCTCCACTTGGTGGCACTGTTTGGGGAGGTTTAGGAGGTGTGGTCTTGCTGGAGGAAGTCAGTCCCTGGGGACGAGCTTTGAGGTTTCACGGCTGCATGCTATTTCCAGCATGCTCTCTCCTCGGTGCGCTTGTGGTTTGAGATGTGAGCCTTCGGCTTCTGCTCCAGCGGCCCTGTCTGCTGCTTGCAGCCATGCTTTCCCTCTGTGGCAGGTCTTGGAGCCACAAGCCAAATAAACCCTTGCTTTTGTAAGTTGCCATGGTTTATCGTAGCAGTAGGAAGGTAACTAATACCTTGAGCGTGGACTGCATGCTCATAGGGTTTTCCTAGGGACTCTATCATACAGACAGCTGAACACTAAATCTGTCTGTAGCTGTCTTTTCATTTCTTTTTTGATCTTTAATTTGCCAATTGAAGACTCTGTTAGAAGGCCGCAGAGCCATGGTCTATAAGACATGTGCTTTCCGGGTCAGGATTGTGAATCTTCAATGCTGATGAGGATGTTGACTGGAAAACCTGTTACTATTGAGAGCCCCAGGTTCCTTTCTGAAAGGTGCAGATATGATCTGTGTTGCACATAACTATGGAGATGCTGTGTGTGTGCTGACTTGCCTGCCAGGTAGGAGCCATGAGGTAAGTTCTGTCCTGTGGCTTGGGACTGTCCCTGTGATCTCTTCTGCAGGTCTTCCTCGGGCATGGCTGGTCTCCACTTCACTCCTCAGAACTCTGATGGAGTTGGAGGGGACTGTGGGGTACTGGAGTTTCCTCTCTGTCTTTCTGACCCGCGAACTCAGGTCACACTGATAACCTGGAGTTGAATTTCCTTTTTCCTTTGGTTAACATTAGGGATGAAACCCAGGTTGTGTGCTGGATAAACACTCCACATGGCTGCCCCACCTGGAACCTTCCATTCTTACACACTTGTTGGGTATCACTGGCCTTGGTTGTTCCGGAAATTCTTCATATTCAGTTAGCTGAATAAATCTTGTCCCCATTTCTCTGTTTCTCCTGTTTTACTTTGAAACAGAGTCTCACTGTTGTTGTTGTTTGTTTATTTGTTTTTTGTTTTTGAGACAAGGTTTCTCTGTGTAGACCCAGCTCTCCTGGAACTCACTCTGTAGATCAGGCTGGCCTTAAACTCACAGAGATCCACCTGCCTCTGCTTGCGGAGTGCTAGAATTAAAGGTGCGCGCCACCACGATTGGCTTGTTTCAAATTTTAATTGTTTTTTTGTTTTTCGAGACAGGGTTTCTCTGTATTGTCTTGGAGGCTGTCCTGGAACTCGCTTTGTAGACCAGGCTGGCCTCAAACTCACAAAGATCCACCTGCCTCTGCCTCCCAAGTGCTGGGATTAAAGGCATGTGCCACCAACACCCGGCTCAAATTTTAATTGTTAATTCCTTTTAGAATTTTAAATAATTTCATCTTGTATATTTATTGTGCATGACTCTGGGTTGCTTAAAGACATTTTTATACAAGTGCTTATTGGGTGTGGAGTGTACCTCTTCCTCCCCGGCTCCCCCCTCTTCCTCTCTTCCCTTTAGTTTCTAACCCTGGACAGTTGCACTTCTGCATATTTTTTGTTTCGTATTTTTTTTTTTTGCTATGTGTGTATACATGCTTTCAGGTATCCATACAGAACCCAGAGCAAGTGAGAGAACATGCTGTTTGCCTTCTATCATGAGTATCTCCAGTTGCTCCATTTTCTGCAAATGATGGAACTTCATTCTTTCACGGCTAAGAATATCCCATTGTGTGCATCTCCTACTTTTGTTCTTTACCGGCTCCCCGTCACTGAACACAGGCGGGGCCCGTTGTTCGGCTGTTCTCGACAGAGCTGCAGAAAGCTGCGTTTCACAGTGATCTCTGTGCTCCGCCACCTGGCCTCTTTTGGGTAGGTACCCAGTGGGGAATAGCTGCATCTTATGGTAGATCTATTTTCAGTTTTTGTTTTTTGTTTTTTTGAGGAACTTCCATTGTGATTTCCATCAGTGCTAGACTGGTCTCCATTCCCTGCAGCAGTGTGTAAGAGTTCCTGCCGTCAGCTAAGCAATAGTGGAGGGACCGCCTCGAATGCCCATTCCTGATAATGAACTTGATGTCTATAACCATCCGGGAGCCTTCATCCTGTGACTGATGGAAGCAGAGGCAAACACACAACTAATCACTGAACTGAACCCAAGGAACCCAGTGACAGAGAGAGAGGAGTGATGAGCAAATTGGCAAAGAATGGGCTGGCAAAATCAGCAGAGACAGCTGATCTGAACAGGGGAGAGCTCGTGGACCCCAGACCGACAGTGGGGAGGCCAGCATGGGACTGATCTGGACCCCCCAAATGTGAGTGTCAGTGAGAAGGCCTGGGCAACCTATGGGGCCCTGAGCTGTGGATCAGTGTCTATCCCTGGTATACAAACTGTCTTCATGTGCCTATAGCACAAAGAGAGATGCTCTCTCAGCCTGGACTTTTAGGGGAGTGCCTTGACCCTACCAAGAGTAAAATGACAGACTCTAGATATGCCCTATGTGGAAGGATTTGGCAATAGGGTGGGAGGGGGGGAAGGGGAGTGCGGGAGGAGGGGAGGGAGAGGGAACTGGGATTGACATGTAAAACAAGCTATTTAAAATTAAAATAAAAAATGATTAAAAAAAGCTAGCCACACAGAAAAAAAAAAAAAAAAAGAGTTCCTGCCGTCCACATCCTCACTGTCGACATTCGTTAGTGTTTGCTTTCTTAACCACCGTTGCTCTGACCCGGGTAGGAGAGACTCCCAACAGTTTCCGTTTGTGCTTCTCTGATGGCTATGAAGGTGAGAATTTTTTATGTATTTATAGACACTGGCATTTCATTTCTTGAGGTCTGTTTACTTTCTTGGCTCATTTATTGATTTGGGTTGTTTGGGTTCTTGTCTTATTTAAGCTCTTTGTATAGTCAAGATACTAATCCTCTGTGGAATACATTGGCAGAAAAGAGCTTCTCCTGTTCTGTGGGCTGTCCCTTCACTTAGCTATGTGCTCCATTCTCCATGAGGAGGCTTCTTTACCTCCAGAGGGTCCCATTCATCAGCTGGTCTTACTTCCTGAACGGCCAGACTACGTAAAGACCCTCCGCAGAGGGTCTTTGTCAACGCCTATATTTTGAAGTGTTCTCTCTGCTTTTCCATGGGCAGTTCCAGAGTTTTGGGTCTTGCATCAATGACTTTGATGCACTGATTTTTGTGGATGTTGGGATATAGGGCTCTGTTTTCATTCTTCTCCAAGTAGCTGTCTAGTTTTCCTAGCACCCTTTGCTGAAGAGACTGTCTTGTCTCCAATGTGTATTTCAAGAGTTAGATAATATCTCTCTCTGACTCACTTTTGCTCTCTTGATCTTTAGCTCTTTTTAGAAATAGGGTCTCATACTGTAGAATTGGCTGGTCTGTAATTCTCTACATGAACTTGGCTGACTTCAAACTCACAAAGATCTGTCTGCCTCTGTCTTCTCAAGTGCTAGAATTAAAGGTGCATTCCACTATGTCCAGTGATGTCTGAGGTTTTAGTGCCTGCACCTGCACAGGTTTGTGGTGGGGTCCTCTGTTGGACCCCGTATATCGATCTGTGCTGGTGCCATACTGTTCCTGTGGATCTACAGGATAATCTGAAATCAGCTGTTACTCAAAACTGAATGAGGGTAATAAGGTCCTTTTGTGTTCCCTTATGAATTTTAAGATCTTTTTCTATTTGTTTGGAGAATTACATTAGCATTTTGATGGTGATTGCATTGAGTCTGTAGGTTACTTGTAGTAAGATGGATGTTTTTTACAATATTGACTCTTCTGGCCCCCAAACATGGGCATTTTCTTTCCAGTGTCACCTTCAATGACTTTCTTTGGTATTTTACTTTACAAGGTCTTTCACTTCCATGGTAAGTTTATTTTGTTTTTAATTGATTTATATTTTGAGGCAATTGTGGATGGGATTCCTTGATTTCTTTCTCATCACATACTGATTTAATTTTTTGTTTGTTTTTATTTCATGTGCATTGGTGTTTTTCCTGCATGTGTGTCTGTGTGACAGTATCAGATCCCCTGGAACTGGAGTTGCAGACTGCTGTGAGCTGCCATGTGGGTGTTGTAAATTAAACCCTGGTCCTCTGGAAGAGTAGCCAGTGCTCTTAGACCCTGAACCACCGCTCCAGCCCTGTTATTGGGAATTTTTGCATCTGTGTGGATGGTTTGGTAGTGTTCAGTAGAGTCTGACATCCAGCCTTCCTTCTCCATTTTATGAGCCAGTGTGAGAAGTCATGATGTTAATTCTTCCTTCTCCATTTTATGAGCCAGTGTGAGAAGTCATGATGTTAATTCTTCCTTCTCCATTTTATGAGCCAGTTTGAGAAGTCATGATGTTAATTCTTCACTGTCTGCTAGGGTTCAGGAGTGAATCTTAGTGACTCTGGGCCTCCATTGCCTTTACTTGGGAGATTTGTTATTACTTCTTCAATCTCATTGACTGTTACAGATCTATTTATACTATGTATCCTAGTTTAAGTTTGCTAAGTCAAATGTATCTAAAAAATTCATCCGTGTAGTTCAGGCTGGCTTCAAACTAGAAAGATAGGTGAGAACGACCTTGAACTCCTGACCCTTCTACTCTTCTCCCTCCGCCAAGTCCTGGGATTGCAGACATCTGCCGCTTTGCCTGGTTCTGTGCGGTCCTGAGGATCAAAAACAGTGTTCTTTGCATACGAGGCAGTCACTGTGTGTACCAGCTATGTCCCCCAGCCTAGGAATTTTCACAAAATCAAGTTAAATCAATAGTTTGCACTTGGAAAAGAAAGCAAGGTGTAAAGGGCTTGTTACCCACTCTACCATAAGGGCATCTTGTTTGCAAAAGTCAGAAGTCAGAGATGGGACAATCAGAGAGGATTGCTCCTCAGTGGGAACAGAGTAAATCAGAGAAGCTGTCATGGTTGCCGCTGGCCCAGGACAGGACTGGCAGGAAGGTCCCGTGGACCAGGAGACTCTTTTTTTTTTTTTTCTCTGTCTGGCCCCAGGCAAGAGCCCCACAGAAGACATGACAGAGAAGTTACTTTAAAGGAGGACTTCTGGAAAGCCACCCCACTGAGAGGGGAGGGGTAGCTGTGAGAGGAGCAACTCACTCTGGCTTTTTAACACAACCTGGAGGGGAAAACTCAGCAGGACTTGACGTAGAATGACTCAGGGTGTGTTGGGGAAGCTGACCTGACAGCAGCAAACATTCCTCTGCTATTGGTAGAGAAGGGAAACTGAGGCAAGAGCTTATCTGCCTACGTTTCTGTAGCCATTCAGCTAATTTTATTGCGCTTGCTCTGGCTAAGCATCACACATGGGTGGTTTTCCTTCTTCTAAACAAGGAATGCTCTATGGTGTTAGAAGCACTAATGGATGGAGTAAAGTGTTGCCTTCTTTATCCTAAGACAGCACGTTTAGAACAAGGCACCCAGACGTCGCTGTGTGGCCACTGCTCAGGGTGAATGTAATCATTCCATACCCAAACCAGTCCACACACCCGACTTCTGTGTTTAGTACAGCAATAAAAAGAAGCGTGATTTTCCTGCCTCTTATTTGTCCTTTCCACTTACTTATTTTGTTATTTCAAGACAGGGTTTCTCTGTGTAGTCCTTGCTGTCCTGGAACTCACTCTGTCAGCCAGGCTGGCCTTGAACTCACAGAGATCCGCCTGCTTCTGCCTCCCAAGTGCTGGGATTGAAGGCGTGCGTCATCACCACTCTTTCCTTTCTGGGAGGGGGTGGGGGAGTCCTTCTGTGTATATGTTTGTCTGACTGGTTGATAAATAAAGCACTGGTGGCCAATAGGGAAGCAAGGTAGGTGGGACTAGGAGTCAAGGAGGATTATGGGAAATGTAGTCAAGAGTAGGGAGTTGCCATGAGGCCCCGGGAAGAGAGGACACATGAGGCTGCGTCCTTGGTAAAAATGTATATTAGTAATTATGGGTTAATAATTAAGTCAGAGCTAGCCATTAAGAAACCATAGCAAATGGCCAACAGCTTCATAATCAATATAGCGTCCTGCTTGTTCATTTGGGATTGATGTGGCTCTGGGACCAGGCTGGTGGGAAGAATGCTTGATACATATTTCCTCTCCTCTCCTCTCTTCTCCTCCCCTCCCCTTCCCTTCCCTTTCGTTCCCCTCCCCTCCTGCCCCTCCCTTCCTTCCCTCCCTCCCTCCCCTCTTTGTTTGTTTGTTTGTTTCTTTCTTTCTTTCAGCAAAATCTCAGAGATCGCTCTCTCTCTCTCCCATACTGGCTTCTAACATGCTGCGGAGCCCAGGATCCTCTAACTCTTGAGTACTGATGGTGCAGGCTCTTTGCCATCCTGGCTGGGTTATGGTGCTAGGGATGGAACCCAGGGCCTGGTGAACGTTGGGCAAGCACCCTATCAGCTGAGCGACACCCCGCCACTCCCTCCCGTTCTGTCTCTTCCAGTTCTTCTGGGTTCCTGTGGGCCACAGACATCATCAGGGCTCTCCTCTGGCAAGGAAGGAACAGAGGTGGAGTGACGGGGCCGCATAGGGCACCCCGAGTCAATGATGCCTAGCACACTCCAGCTGCGGTGGGCAGGAATGATGAGGATCAAGGTTAATTGGAGCCATTGCTGCAAACAGGAAGGAGTGCACATGCCGAAAAGATGCGTGCAAGGCAGCCTGCACTTGTGTGTTACCTGTGCGTGCACACGTTTTTGTAAGACTTGGGAAATTGCAGAATGCTAATAGAGAGATAGAAATGGAGTAATAGGGACTCTGACTTTCAGTGAATCTTTGACCTGCTGGGGTTTTAGGGCCAGCCTTCCTGGGGTCTGCCTTCTGCTGGTTTGCTGCAGTTCCCAAAGGCTGTCCTCCCCCACCCCCAACCCCAGAGGCTTGTCCAGCTCAAATTGGAGAAGTCCCCATTCTTGTTGGCCACTCCCCCACGACCTATGCCCTAGATGCTGTGCTCTTTCCCCAGATGAATTCTGCACATTTTTAAAGGCTGGTGTCTTCATCTTTTGAGACATTTCCTGGATACTTAGCAGTCTTTGCTACTGGCTCAGAGCTTGGCAGAGGGAAGGGGTGGGACAGGAGCCTTCACTTGACTTTTCTCCTCTTTCAGCGGACAGGATCAGCAGAAAACTAATGGTGGCTTCCTGTGTCAGCTAGCTGGGGCTTTTAATCAGCATATTAACTGTTAGTGGTGTTTTTGGAGTTCACAAAGTATCTAAGTGTTACAGTTTCTTTTCTGTTTTTTTTTTGTTTTTTTTTTTTGTTTTTTTTTTTTTTGGTTTTTTTTTTTTTTTTGGTTTTTCGAGACAGGGTTCCTCTGTGGCTTTGGAGGCTGTCCTGGAACTCGCTTGGTAGTCCAGGCTGGTCTCGAACTCACAGAGATCTGCCTGCCTCTGCCTCCCGAGTGCTGGGATTAAAGGCGTGCGCCACCAACGCCCGGCGTGTTACAGTTTCTTTACATTCTTGCTGGAGTTTCACGTTGCCACTTTTTAAAAGGATTTTTATTTTGGGGATGGGGCCTATGCTAAATACTGAAGTCAGGGCCTTGTACACCCAAAGCAAGCACTTAACACTGAGCCGAACATGCAGCCTCTTATTGCCGCAATTTTCACATTTATCTATGTATTTATTTGTGAGACAGGATCTGATGTAGCCTCCGCTGAGCTCGGGCTTGTTAGGTAGCCAAGACTGACCGTGAACTCCCAACCCTCGAGTCTCCACCCACCTGCATGTGTCGTCATCACGCCTGCATGTGTCATCATGCCTGGGAGTTCACGTGCTGCTGCCCATCCGGCCCCGGGGCATCTGGAACGGGGAGCAAGACCTGCACCAACTGAGATGTATGTGTCCCACACTGCCACAGCTTAATTTTTAAAAAAATTTTAAACAACAAATTCTTTTTTTCCTTTTTGAAGAGAGATGTGTATGGTTTATTTCCAATTATCTTATTTTTCTTGTCTTTTTTTTAAATTACTTTAATGTTAAATAGCTTGCTTCACATGTCAATCCCAGTTCCCTCTCCCTCCCCTCCTCCCATACCCCCCCATCCCCCCAGCCTCCCACCTTATCCCCACTTCCTTCCACATAGGGGATATCTAGAGTCTGTCATTTCACTCAGGGTAGGGTCTAGGCACTCCCCTAAGAGTCTAGGCTGAGAGAGCATACCTCTTTGTGCTATGGACACACGATGCCTGTTTGTATGCCAGGGATAAACACTGATCCACTGCTCAGGACCCCATAGGTTGCCCAGGCCTCCTCACTGACTCTCACACTCAGGGGGTCTGGATCAGTCCCATGCTGGCCTCCCAGCTGTCTGTCTGGGGTCCAAGAGCTCCCCCCTGTTCAGATCAGCAAGCAACAAATTCTTTTTTCCCCTCTCCTCCTCCTTCTCCTCCCATCCTCCTTCTCCCTCCTCTGCGTATGATACCTGTGTGGTTGCATGTATGTTACAGCATGCACGTGGAGGTCTGAGGTCAACTTTGTGGAACCAGTTCCTGATTAAACGAGAGTCGCCAGGTTTTGTGGCAAGAACCTTACCCACCGGCCTAATTTCAGCTTCATAGGTCCGCAATAGTATTTAATTGCCAACCGATCAACATTTCCCTAATAAGCAATGATGCTGGAAACCCTCTTCTGGGAAACACCTACTCGCACTTTTTTGCTCATCTTCGATTTGGATTTTTCTCCCCATTGAATTTTTGAAGATTGTCGATCCTGTCAAGTTGACCATCGACTTTTACCTTTTCTTCTATTACTTTTAGATTCATTTCACGAGTGTCATGTCTCAGTGTGTGCATGCGCACCCTGTGCCGTCCGCAGATGCTGTGAGCTGGTGACCACGACAAGCAGGAACTCAATTTGATGCCCGTCATCTTCCCTGACGTAGACTGGTCCTGTCAGGAGCACACATGTCTCACTGTCAATGAAAAAAATAAAGAAAGAACTTACGTTATTAAAACATCTTAAATGCCATATTCTGTGGATCTCTGAAGGGTGTGAAGATGACACGCCTTTCTAAAATATGTTTGACCTAGTAAACATACCTAACGTGAAGACAGGTTCGACTGCAGTAGCTGACTGACTGCTAAACTACGTGCGCTGAGCAGCTTGCCCTCAAGTGTCTCTCTCTCTCGAAGACGGTACTTGTATGCCGTCCGCACCTCCCTTGGCCAGTGTTTCCTTCGTGGACGGCGCTGTCTGTGGCGGTATCGGGACTTTGGGCTTCCTCTGCCTTCTGAGATTGACCTCCTAGGTGTCCCCTCGAGTCTTCTACCTGAACGTAGGCGCCCTAGGGGCTCTACGGCTGCGAGGAGACACCATGCCACAGCAGCTCCTACAAAGGAGAACTTCTAATTGAGGTGGCGGCTACATGAGTTTGGAGGCTCGGTCCATCACCAATCACCGCGGCCCAGAACGTGTAGCGCCTCTCCCTTTGGGAGCCATTTTCCTTCAAAACACCACAGTAGGGGGGTTTTAAAATATCATCCCCCCTTCAAATACGTTTGCAGTGATGTTGTGGCGCTGCGGGTTGTTCCAGCCCCTGTGACCTCTTCTCTATTCACCCCAGCCCTGTTGAAATTCATCTTCCTCCCTAGCTGCTGCGATGTTTTCCATTTGTTCATAGCTTCTTCTCCTTTACTGAGATCCTCAACTTCTTATGTGTCTCTTGGAGAATGGATTCTCCATTGCCGAAATGTTTTGGGGCACCTGCTTTAAAATCCTGGCCAGACAATTTACTCTCCACCTCTGATTTGCCTTGGCTTTTGCCAGTTAACTGCCCCCCCCCCGCCCCGCCACTGTCTATGTTTGGGGACACAATTTCACTATGTATGCTCCTGGCTTGTCCCTCCAAATTGTAAGATCACCAGCAGGCACCGCCTTGCCCAATAAAGCCGTCGTCCGTCCGTCTGTCTCTCCATCCATCCGTCTGTCTGTCTGTCTGTCTGCCAGCCTCAAGAACCAAACCGCCGGGTAAAACACCTGTTGTTACTATCTTAATGCAAGCTGCTTTAATTCGTTTCCATCTCATTGGTTCTGTTCCTCTAGAGAACCATGGCCAACATGACCAGGCTGGCCTTGAACTTGTGGTCCTCCTGCCTTGACCTTTCTACTCTGTGGTTGCTGGTATTATGCCACTGTGCCTGGTTTATGTGTTGCTGGGAATTGAACCTAGGACTTTTACATGTTGACGGATGGCTATTGCGGACAATCCCTTTTGTACACTGTAAAGATTTATCACTTGAATTGGTTTAATTAAACAGCGATTGGCTGGTAGCCAGGCAGGAAGTATGGGTGGGGCAACCAAACAGAGGACGGTGGGAAAGAGAGGGCGGAGCTAGAGAGTCGTCAGCAGATGCAGAGAGAGCAAGTTTGGCATGCCATACTCAGAAAAGGTACCAGGCTGTGTGGCAAAGCTTACGTAGGAGATATGGGTTATTTTAAGTGTAAGAGCTAGCTAGTAACAAGCCTGAGCTATCGGCTGAGCATTTATAAGCAATAGTAAGTCCCAGTGTGGGACAGAAACTTCCGTTTACAGACAGGTGACACTCTACCAACTGAGTCTGATCCCCAGCATGAGGAGTGCTTCAGGCATCTCCCCCAAATCTTTCTGCCTTTGACCAGGCTCTCACAACCGGAACAGCATTCTTTGGGCTCTTAGTGCTCTCCCCCTAAACACCCCAAGATGTGCAGGAAAGGAAGTGTCATTTTTTCTACCTTTTCTGACTGTACCATCACCTATAAGCTATCCACAGTACAGGCGGCGTCTCTCAGAAGCAACAGCCGCAGCTGACGGCATGTGTCAGCAACTGCCTGTGTGGGGCAGGTCATCACCTGAGGTCAGCGACCTACTTGATACATTTGCGTTTTGCTTTGGTGGTATACCTTAACCCCATTCCTCCCCACTTTTCGGTGATGTTTAAAAATTTATCATTCAGCTGCCTGCTGGGACAAGGCCACATGCTCTGGCTGTATGTTTTAATTTCTGGTCCAGTGAACTGAACCTGTCATGAGTGGCGAAGATGACATCCACGCTAGACTAAACAAACGTTTAGCCTTAGGAACACGTCAAAAGCACAGGCTCCTAACTGTGGCTGACTGTGGGAATCCAAGGAGGAGGTCCTTCCTCTCCACGGACACCTTCAGGGGAGGTCCCTTTTAGTTCAGTGCATATGTGGCCTGCTTGTCTTGTGAAAACTCTAAGACTGGCTAACTGACACTATTCTGTGGTGACACATTGTTTTATGATTTATTAAAGCCACTGAAGATCAGAACAGCCAAGCAGCCCATACAAGTTAGCTACAGAAGCCAGGCACACACCTTTAACCCCAGGACTCTGGAGAAAGGCAGATGGATCTCTGAGTCCAAGGCCACCCTAGGCTACGGGAGAGTGAACCAGAGCTCAAGCCTTCAGTCCTAGGACTCCTGAGAGGTGTTTAAGACAGGCCCAGGTTCTGAGAGCTGGCATTCACTCTCCAGCCACACTGAGGATAGGAAGGCGTTGGGTCTCAGGGTTCTCCATCCACGCTGAGGAGAGCACAGCAGCCTGAGGTTTGTTGGAGGCCGGGTCGCCCTTTCAGTCTGAGGTCGAGGTGAGAGCTGGCAGCCAGCTGCCTTGCTTCTCTGACCTTAAGCCAGAAGCCTGAACCCCAATGTCTGCTGCAGTAGTCAGGCTCTACCTCAGACGCATTGCAGCTAACCCAGGCCTCACTTTTCATTTAGCCACAGCAGGGGAGGCTGCCTTGCTGGGGTTTGTGGTTATTCAGCCACGCTGCCTGTCCACCCCAGATGACTCTATACACAGCAGGAGGAGAACACTGCTAAAAAAAAAAACACAAAACCTCCTATCGCACCAGCCTCCCCTGGCCCTGACAGGGTGCCTGGCGAGCTGGGGAAGCCCACCTTTAACAGTGAAGTCTTCTAGGGCTGGGGGATGCAGCTCAGTAACCGAGTGCTTGCCTAGCGGGATCCTTGGTACCCTAAACCAAGCCAAGATAAAAAAGAATCTGAAACACCCCAACTAGCCCAGTCACTGGGGGGTGAGGGCTAGGAGTCATGAAATGACTGCTGATTTCCTGCCTTGGTGAGGGAGATTGGTGGCGACACACCTATCAATAATGTCAGTCACTTAAATCAGCACTAGGGAAGGGACTAGAAGGGTCAGGCTGCTGGTCTCCAGCAGGGCTTAACCGCTGACCTGCGGGACCCAGGGTTGGCGAGGCTTTGGGGGGGAGTGGCTTCCGGCCGCACACAGATGGGCGATGCGGCTTGAGGGAGCTTCCTTCTCCAGACGGGACCGTGCCTTCCTTTTTCCTGAAAGGAGAGGCTCTTCTTCTTTTGTGTTTCCAGTTTTTATTTATTTATTTATTTCATGAAACCTTCCTGTCACTGAGGGGCTGCTTCCTGCGGAAAGTCCTGAGCAGCATTTGGTGATTAGGAAACAAAAAAAGGCGTGCGTGATAATAATGGCTCGAGTCAGGAAAGAAAGAGAGAGAAAAAAAATGTTAACCGAATTTTCAAGTCAAAGACTGTCCCAGGGCCTTTGGGAATCTCTGTTTTTGGTTTTTGGCAATTTGTTTCTGGCATGTGAGCAATCTTAGATGGTAACAGCTTGCTATTTGGATCTGAGCCCTGCCACTGTAATCCATTTGAAGGGTGTGAACGCTTTCCCCCCTTAATCATATTTGCTGTTATCGAATTCTCCGATGACCAAGAGAAATGATGTAGACCTCAGCGACTGCAGAGGGCCATTAGCTCTCAGAGAATGCGCAACGATCTGCTTGGACTCTGCTATTCTCTATTAAAACTCTACCAGGTTTTTCTGGGGGGGAGTTTCCCACTAGTTTTCAGCGGGAACCTGACTGCAAAATGTCAGAAAAATTAATTATGCTATTCTTTCTCAGGTAATTTCCTCCATGCAAGTTTATGTGCTTTGCTGTTAGTCAGTCAATCGCAGAGCAGCAGCAGAATCGTTATGGCGTTCTTTACTGCCTGCTTGTTTAGAGACTGTAAAAGAGGTTGTGGGTGTGTGGTTCCTTCGGTAAAGTGCCTGCTGTGCAAGCATGAGGCAAGCCGTGCAAGCATGAGGCTCTGAGTTCAGATCCTCAGCATCAGTGCAGAAAAGCTGGGCAGACGTGCGTGCCTGCAATCCTAGGAGCGGGAGGCAGAGACGGATCCTGTGCTCGCTGGCCACTCCAGCTGAGCTTGACAGCTCCGGACTCAGTGAGAGATCCAGCCTCAACGTATAAGGAGGAAAACACACATGCACACGCACGCACATGCACGCACACGCACGCACACGCATGCACATGCATGCACACACGCATGCACGCACACACACGCACGCAGTGAAAAATTGAATTTTCACTAACCACTGGCACCTCTGAGACATACATACACACACACACACACACAAGAAGAATTGAAAATTTGGATTTTCACTAACCACTGAAAACGAATGCATGTGGGTAGAATAAAGAGGTTAAAATGAATATCCCACAAAAAGGCAAGAGAAAACAAGATGGTTCAGCAAGTAAAGGTAGTTGCCACCAACCCTGGCAACTTGAGTTTGATTCCCGTTCACCACTCAAATGGAAGGCAAGAATGACGCTACTTCTACACACAAGAAGAGGATTGTTTGTTTGTTTGTTTGGTTTGGTTGTTTTTCGTGACAGGGTTTCTCTGTGGCTTTGGAGCAAAAGTATCATTTAAAAAGTAAAAATGTGGCCGGGCGTTGGTGGCGCACACCTTTAATCCCAGCACTCGGGAGGCAGAGGCAGGTGGATCTCTGTGAGTTCCAGGCCAGCCTACAAAACAATACAGAGAAACCCTGTCTCGAAAAACCAAAACAACAACAAAAAAAAAAGTAAAAATATAAGTTGGGCTATGGTGGCACATGTCTTTAATCCCAGCACTCCAGAGACAGTGGCAGGCAGATGTTTGAGTTTAAGGCCAGTCTGGTGGACAGAGTGAGTTCCAGGACAGCCAGGGATGCATAGTGAAATCCTGTCTCCAAAAAAAAAAAAGAAAAAACCACAACCAAACCAAACAAAAACAAAAGAGTAAAAATATAGCCAAGCATGGCGGCACATGCTTTTAAATCCTGCCCTCTGGAGGCAGAGGCAGGTGGATCTCTGTAAATTCTAGGACAGCTAGAGACACATATTGAGCCCTGATTCCAACAACAACAAACAAGTAAAAATATAAGAACTAAAGAGAAAAATAAAGAAAATACCTTTCTTAAAAACAAAACAAAGCCGGGCGTTGGTGGCGCACGCCTTTAATCCCAGCACTCGGGAGGCAGAGGCAGGCGGATCTGTGTAAATTCAAGACCAGCCTGGACTACCAAGCGAGTTCCAGGACAGCCTCCAAAGCCACAGAGAAACCCTGTCTCGAAAAACAAAATGAAACAAAAACAAAAACAAAACAAAAAACAGAGACAACAAAAAGACAGACTTTCTCCAGGCTGCTTTCTCTAAGAAGCTTCTGCGCTCACCGTGGTCCACAACACGACGTTAGAAGAGGCTGTGACCATGGCGTTTGGGGTTCAGAGAGAGGTGCCGTGCCGATGACTACTGACGGCTAGATGAGTGAACTGAACTTTCAGGCATGCTTCCGTATCAAGTCTCATCTCAACAAGCTTGGAAGGACTGCTCACTTACAGCTAGTATCTCAGGGCTCCTGAACTCTGGTCTGTTTATGCCGTGACAAAGCCCATGGGTCTGTCACCACTGGGTACGGTGACAGCATGCCAGCCCATCCCGTTTTGTGCTTTATTTAACTCACATATGTGATGTGGGGCACTCCCCACTAATGTTTTTAGAGCTTTCTTTGTTAGTACTGGTGTGTGTGTGTGTGTGTGTGTGTGTGTGTGTGTGTGTGCGTGTGTGTGTGTTGGAGCAACCTG